ACTCTCCATTAGCTAATTTTACTAGAAGGCAAGCAGCTCCCATCTTCTTTGTTTTATAAGTCAACTTGTGACTGAAACCAAAAGGCTACCTCCCAAAGCACTGACCAGGCGGAAACTCACAAATAGTAAACTTATATTCACTTGGTTCCCTTACAAGAGCTGCTCCAAGGAAATCTTCTCCCTCTATGTTTACATTCTTGATTTGATGAATTTAATCAAATGAAAGCAACAGGCTATTCAGCTCTTCACTCCAAAATGGAAACAAATACAACTACTTAAAACGTGGTTGAAGAGAAGCTATCAGTTACCGTCATCCCTAGACAGCACAGCTCATGGTGATGGATAATGGACATTGTAGTCCAAAAATATCTGGAGGAGCACATGTTTCTCTTCCCTAACTGAAAAGAATAAACAAATGAGAAATTAATGTGGAAAAAATATCACCCTTAACATTAATGGCCAAAAAGCTGAGAATGGGGGGAAAAAACCCAAAACCCAGCAACTTATAAAACACTGCTGGTGGCCACTGTTGGATTCTGGGAGCATCCCTAAGATAGAATGTTGTTTCTGTTATTTCTATACAATATTCAAAAGGAGTACAGTGGCCTGTTAATTAATGCACGGTAGATTCAAGCATCTCCATCTGACCATCAGGGTTTTCCAGTATGTACTGAAACAGTGGGCTTTCTCCCTTCCAGGCAAAGGGAAAGAACAAAATAATGTCACTACGCTAATCAGCAGGAAGAGGCACAGATGACAAGGAACAAAAATCCCCAATCAAGCAAGCCACAGGCAACCTCAGATAGAAGGAAAAGCTCTTACATCTTCTAACCCTCCTGTTAAACAATACACAATTCTTGATGTGGTATTCTACTGCAGTTTTGCCTGACTGATGAGAAAGTAATCTGGCTTTCAGATATTGATATTGGATTCATGATGCAATATTTAGAAAATAAACTGGCTTTAAAAACAGGTCTTGACATTTAACTTCTTTTCACTAAATATTTATTACTTTTCTTCACTGAAAATTGTTCATCATAATACATAATGGTCTTTTATTTATGCCACCTGGCATAAGCTCATTGGCATAAATCTGTTGGCTACGCATTTCCTGTCACACATCAGTCACATGTTTTAGTGCGCAACAGTAAATACTGTACATACACTGATTTTTCTTAACTTGTAGCAATTTGTAGCTGAGATTTATGGACTTAATCTCAGCATTTTATTTTCAGTTGGGTTCAGCTGGAGTGTGCAAAAGTCTAACAGAATATATTAAAATCCACGAAGGCATTTTCTTCAGGACACAGAGCAGGGATTGATCTCAGAAGCGGACACTGGCATTAAAATCCGATTGTTCCATTACACAAGTTTAACATTCACTCACCTAGCCAGCAATTAAATGAGTCCCTGCTGGAATTCAAATGCCTGCACCAAGCAGGCACCCCTAAGAATTCCAGCAGTAACTCATTATTTGCCAGGAAGAAACAAAGGAATGTTATGCATTTCACCTTCTGTCTATATAACAAAGCAACAGGATTTCACCCTCAGTGTTCAGTTATGAATAGACTGACAACTGCAAGTTAACTAAAAGGAGAAGATTTGTAGTGCTGCCATGTAGAGTCTGTACTATCATGCCAGTTACATGCAACATTGAAACTTGCTCTACTTGTCAGTTATATTTATTTCATCACTGTAGATAAATGGCAAAGTATGATTTATACCTGTGAGGTACTTCTTCAAGAAAATGAATCAACTATTCAACACTAGAAAAGTCATATTAATTACCTAATGGGATCAATAATGGAATGTTCTGCTATTGTCTTTTGACACCATATTTGAGAAAACAACTTCTATCTGTGCATAATAAAGGAGAAAAAATATGATAGTTCCTGATTTAATCACATACTCACTATATGAACCCATTAAGTAATTGCCCACAGAGCACCAGACTGAGAAATGAAAATGTTATAAAGTTAGAGCATGAGATTTACACAACGGATATAATTATTAATGACAGTGAAACACAGCAAACTCTGTGAATTCAATAAAATGTTAAAGAGTACAGGGCTGTATAAATCAGACTTTAGTACTACCTGAGTGCTTGTTTGCTTATAATTATCTTTGCTAAAAATGTAATTTATCATTCATTCTCCACTTATAACTGGCTATGAATAAGAGCATTTTAATTAAAGGCCAAAAGTTTTCTGAAGCTCTGTTTGGGAAAATAAGGCTAAAGAGAAAATATCTTTCCTCCATGGCTATCACAAGATACCTTATAATAAGTCACTCTGGCCAGCCTTCTACTACTTGTATGCTCTGACTGGCAGCAGTTAACTCAGATCTTAAGACATGCACTTCTTCAAACTGGAGGTGGCAGGGATGGAAATGGGACTGAGTCTATGGAAAACACAGCTCTACCACTGGGCCATGGTCTAAACCCAAATATTACCACCCTCCCCATTTCCACTCCCTTAGAAGTTTCACCCAAGCCAGAATCTCCAGATTTGCAAGAGGCAGCCATGCAGTCTGATTTCGACAGTATGAGAGCTTCACATGGATCCCAGCATGGTGCTGAGGACACCAGGAGGCCTATTACATTATGTCCTTCCAGTTACTTATTGGCCAGCATGGTGGAGAGGGGTGGGACTAGGATATCAAAGTTAATACAATCCTGTTCCTATAAAACACTGAATATTGATTTCTTCATTCCTTTTTACAAGTGGCTTGCATTTCCCCAGCAATTATAACAAGAACATGGCACTGATACTGAAAATTTCAGCCACCGCTGTGAGATTATAGTCATTACATGTTATCTTTCAAGCCCATTGGCAGAGAACATAAAATAAAGTTCTTTACAAGCACCAGTAGAAAAATATTAAAAGACATTTCTTTTTCTCATCACCACCACTGTGATAGAATGATGCATTGGCATATGTTCTAGAAATGTTCCTTGTGAGCTGTTTTTGATAACCTAGGTAAAAATTCAACATTCATAGTGTCAAGTTGCTTCTCGCAATAAAGACAATTGGTTTTGTTAATATTTTCGTTAGATGCTTGATACCTTAAAAATAGGCTGATGATGCTTGTCTGCAATGAAATGTTTCATTTTTATGAAACAAACCTCAGTGACTGTTTAACAGCAGAAACACAAACAGAGCAAGTGGAAGTTAAAAGCTTATTAATTAAAATGAAATTAAATGTATTGATGCTATTAATTGAAAATTGTATAAAAATAGCTGAATTAGACAGAAAGGTGTAGGAGAAAGGAACATGGATAACAGCTAAAGAGCTTTGTGCTAGCTCAATTAATTCTTTTGGGAAAGAGAACTTCATTTTAGAATGTTTGATGTATGTCAAAAGTATAATTGGTTAAGGCTATGAATTCTGTTCTTCACATTTTAGAACGTGGGTGAAATATATTTTTCGAACTGTATTTTATAGGGTTACATTTTTTAGCTTGTTGAAGTGAGTTTTTCTGTATGTAAAATATAGGTAGATTCACTTAGATGGGCATCCTTCAGTCTCAAGAGACTATGCTAATGTGCTCTGAATAGAGGTCTTGGTACAGCATCTAGTGTGGCTGAGAAGGCCAATTCAAAAGTGACAATCCCTTCCACACTGAAGACAAATACAATCTGTCCCTGTCCAGCTCCCTGGTTTGGCTGGTTTTTGGACTGCCACTTCGTCTTGGCCTGCTGAACAGGTGTCTCTTCAAATTGGGAGAGGCCATGCTACACCACCTGCCTCCAGGCTGAACACTCAGATGTCAAGGTTTCCCATCTGTCAAGGTCCATTCCTAAGGCCTTCAGATCCCGCTTGCAGTTATCCTCGTATCGCAGCTGTGGTCTCCCTCTGGGGGGATTTCCCTGCACTAATTCTCCATACAGGACATCTTTTGGACTCCAACCATCAGCCATTCTCACAACATGCCCAAGCTAACGTAGACATTGCTGTTTCAGTAATATATACATGCTAACAATGCCAGCTCAATGTATTTGTGAAGGATTTCACAGCCGGGATCTATTGGTTGTTGTGGGTTTTTTGGGCTCTTTGGCCGTGTTCTGAAGGTTGTTCTTCCTAACGTTTCGTCAGTCTCTGGTGTGATCTGGCCCTGATACAAGCTACACCAACTTTATATCAGTATGTCTGCACTGTATCACTGTACTGTGAGGCCTTTTACTGGGATGAAGAAAGATGATGGCAACCTACATGGCCTTCAAGGTTTCTCTGCCTCTATCAGTAATATAACAATAAACCAGGAAAACAGAACAGTGAAGAACTCAGAAGTCTTAAAACAAGTGGGAAAGAGTTTATTGAGTAACACTAATCAGTTCCCTAGGTATAAATAATAATTACATGCTGTTAGGTAGATTCTGATTTCTGGCAATGCTTTCCAGGGATTTCCAGGTATAGAGTACTCAGAAGTACCATTCCCTTCTTCTGGGGGCACCCTTGGACTGGGCGGGCAGCTTGCTCAAGGCTATACAGGTTGGCTCTTCCCCCAGGAGGCACAGTAGGGAACTGAACTCGGGGCCCCTTGCCAGAAGCTCCATCTTACTCTGCTATCCAGCCAACTGCAGTTGTATTGATGAGTTGCAAATATCATTCATGCACGCACACACACAAACACACACTCGTGCATATATACAGTGTGAGTGAGAGTAAGTGATATTTAAAGTGTATTTAAATGTGTGGTGAAGGGACACAGAGAAATCCCATACTATAACATAGAAGGCAAAAATCACTTGTATTGGCAGCCATTCTGGTGCTGCAGAATTAATTCAGCTACATTTTAGAACTGCCCTTTTAAACAATGTGTAATAATGATTTTGGTTCAGAATACCTACTCATTTGAAGGAAAGAGCTATCAGTGAAATGACATTCCTCTCTTTTTATGATACACAAAATAACACTTCTGGAGCAATTGCATTCTCTCCAAGAAAGGTTTCCTCCTACTCCTACAACTTCGAAAATGTAGCCTTACTGAATGTACTCACCTATTTGAGACTGTGGAACCATGGTTGATTTACGGTCACACAAAGGGGAAAAGGGAAGCCCTAGTTCAGCTTCTTTGTCACCCTGGGGGGGGGGAAGAGGATGGGGAGGGGAAAGAGGACAAAAAGCATGTTAATTTAGCGCAAGAATGTAAAGGACCAGGCTCTTGTGCTCTTTCTTCTCACTTACATACAACTTTCAAGGGAGGCATTTCTGATGCACAGTAACTGTATCATTCAACATCTTAATATCACGAAAAACAAACATGGAATGGCAGATTTCTCCCCTTTCTCTTTTGTTAGGCAGTTGGTACAAAAAGAGAGAGAGGCCAACTGGCCAAAGAGAAATTGATGGCCTGTCCAGTTTATAGCCTTTCTGATTCTGTTATTTGTAGGAAGTGTAAAACCAACACTTTTTGACTAGTGACCAGAATTTCTGAGCAAAAATCAAAAGTATAAAGTGGTTGCTTTATCTGGATATTATGACTATGTACCTCACACATATGCAGTAAGGCCCCACATTTTTAGTTCAATCCATGATTTCACATCAACTCCATCTGTTTCTGTATATGATTGTTTGTGTGTTCGTGTGCACACACTTGGAATAATGACTGAGGATCAGTCAGGTAATGTATAAAAATTATCTCCCACACTGTTCTGCATAAGTGAATAGATATATTATTTAAATGATTAGTCCCTCAGTAAGAAAGCGAGATGGGCAAAATGCTTCCCTGATTATTAGGATTAAGTCAGCAACAGAAGCTATTTTATCTAACTGAGTTTTGGGGAATGTCCTCCTTTCTCTACAAATTAGATGTTCCTGTACCTTTTTTTACAACATCCTCATGCTGATGATCCGAAGGTCATTCTACTAGTGTCAGTGTTGAGCTATCTCAATAGTATTTAGATTTTTGCTTTGGTCCGAGAGAGGGCCTTCTAGGTGGCTGCTCCTGGATTATGGAATGCCCTGATTCATGAAGCTGGCTTGGACCCCTCTCTCCTGCCCTTTCAGTGACAAATGAAAGCCTTTCTTTTTAGGCAAGCTTTTTATATCTAATTTAAACATAACTTAGATGCCCTACAGTCACTGCTTCTATATCCTTTCTGATGTCATTTTAATTTTTAAAATTGTATTTAGATGAGTGTTCTAATATTAGTAAGTTTAATTGCTTTTTACTGGTTTGTGTTTTTTAATTCCTGTTTATTTTAATCTATGTGTGAGCCACCTTGAGTCTCTTCACTAGGAGAAAGGAAGCATAAAAACAAACAAAATTATACTAAAATAAAATAGATTTTACCCAATTCATGTGGCTCTTGCCATTACTGAATTGCTAATTTATTGTATTGATTCCTTAAAATCTTCCTTATGGGGTTACTGTTGAACACAGTTTAGAATGCTGCACTACAAAGCAAGTAATTTACTGATGAGATGGGCCTGACTCAGGCCCGCAGAGAGTTCAAGATCACACTCTCTTCATTCCATGTACAGAAGTGGACTGGACTTTCAGCTGACACTTGAACCTTGGCAATGGGATAAGGACATGCCACCACACTTGCAGGCAGAAAGCTATTTTAAGGGATGTTGGACAGGCTATACATCACACATAGCTCTATCCTTCAAAAGAAAATAATAGCTTGGGGGCTCAGGGGGAACAATCAGTATCCTGCTGCCATTCCCACAACATCTGCCTAAAGACAAGGCCATCCCTGGCTGGCTATTGAGAACATCTTGTACCTAGGCTAGTCATTTGCATTATTTGTTTGAAGATCCCCCAGCAAAGTGAACTCCCCACCCCGCAAAAAAAAGCAATGGGCAAGCATAACTGAGAGAATGTCTTGTCTGGGTGAATCTCCCCACTTAAAAAAAGAAATCTGCCAGACAAGCCTTTCTCTGATTTCTGTCTCTATGTGACAAAATCTTATAAGGCTCAGAGCCCAGAATTCTCTGTCATGATGCCTCAGCTATAGCATCAAATTTTCAAGGAGAGCCTCCAGTTCTCCTCCCTGCTAGTGTTCAGGCACTAGGTAAAAACTTCTGTGTCCTTGTGCTCTTTAAATTGATCTTTAAATCTTTAGTTTTCATTGTTGGTGCTTACTGTGTGATTTTCATTTTTCTGGCACATTGCAATGACAACATTCATAAAAACTGAAATTGAGTAAATATTGCCTACTAAAGGCAATTTATACAAATCACTTATGACAGGATGAAAAGAATGACTCAAAAACTGACATGCTACCATTATGGAACACTTCATGTACTCATTAGTGAAAATTATAAAAGTAATTTTAGATCCAGGAAAGCTGGATATATAGATTCTTGGGCGACATGTTTGGAGTTCAATAGGTATTGATGACTCTTCTTGCCAACAAGAAATATGTTTATTATGTCCATAAGAGAACCCATATACATCATGTTAGCACTCAATAAAAAACATAAGGATGTAACAAATACTTGCAAATGTTCTTGCCTTCTACAAAACCATTTGTCTCAGACCATCAAGACACCCATTAAAATAACTGTCAGTTGCTATAATTTTTATAATTCCCAAGGCTGTATTTAACTGTGACAGCTTCCTTGATTCCTCCTGTGTGTAAGTAAATATCTCATAGGGTTTGGATCACTGCATTTTGCAATGAAATCAGTGTTTTGTGCAAAATATTTTACAGAAAATATCACAAATGTGAAAAATCCACTACAGTTCTCCATTTTTTATTTTAAAAAATCTTTTTCATTTTTCGTTTTCACCTGTGAGATTGAAAGGAGTGAAGTATCAGTTATAGTGCAATCATATACGTAACTGTATACTCAGAGGTATACAATGCTGGATTTAATGTCTTCATCACTGTGTCACTGAAACTAGAAAGCAGTAAATCTTCTTCAAATTACCTGTCTGAAAAACTCCTCTAATAATGACATGGTCCAGCGGTGATGGAGATCCCATGCCTTGGCGGGATGACTGATGTCAGCTGTATGCAACATCAGTGATAAGGCTTTTGGTTTGTCGATGCTGTAAAGATAGACAGTGGTACACTTCAATTTTGTGCATTGCTAGAAAAGGAAAAAACTGCTAAGGGAGGAAATGAAGCTAATCTTAGCTTCACCTGATAGACTGAGTCTGTTGAGAATATTCAACCATATTCAGTTGGCAACGCTTCATACATCTGTTTTCATCTAAATTACTAAGACACTCATGAAGTAAAATGATTTGTGAATCCATATATCTAGCAAGGTATACAAAATAATCTGAGGACAATAAGAGGACTAGCAAAATTTTAATCCCTGAGGGTGCTAATAACTATCCTAGCTGTGGCACTTAGTGAGTTTTGGAAAAAAAAATTGACTCCCCGACTTTTCCTAATCAGAAACAGTAATGCTGTTTAATGACATGGCCACAGTCCTATAACTTGCATGTCCCAGGGTAAATCAAATAGCACAAACTGCAGCAGCAATTAGCGACTAGGTAGTAAGCTGACAGAATGAGGACATTGTGTATGAATAAAGTGACTTGGAACATGATGAGCAGCACAAACATCAACTTCTTATCTAGTGGCAACTTGCTACCATGATTTATGCTGTTTGACTTACATTGGAATAGATTGTATAATAGTATTATGGCCACTGAGAATCAAATTTAGGTGAGCTCACTCAAGAGCTTCTCAGCTCTGTATCTTGCATTTAGTGTGTTTTGTTTTTGTGTTGGTTTTTTATTCGTCCTTGACTGGAAAACACATGCTTAATTTATTAGTCAATAGCATTGTTTCTAATTTGACTCTGAAGCTATGGACAAAATATGAAACAAGCAAGTGGAGATGTGTAGATTACATGTCGTCAAGTGAAAACTGACTTTTAGTTTCAAGGTAAGCATGTGAGCAGGGCTTTGAACCTGTTCTCTAGAGTCCTAGTCCATCACTCTATCCACTAGACCACACTAAGAATCAGTGGAGTAGAGTGGAGATACATGACTACAAATGGATTCAAACACTCCTAATAAGACATCTTCTGCATGTTATTCCTCATATGCTTCAAGGTTCTGATAATGACTGTATATTTCTAAGCCCCTCGGGACTGCTGAACTACCCAGTGCAGTTCCTGAACTGAGTTAAATATATATTCTACATCAAAGAGACATATGAAATGTAACTCATAGATTGCAGCCACAGATGCTCTTTAAGGACATGTTGGTGGCTGCCACTAGAGCTTATTCCTGGACAAAGTCCCCCAATTTCCATAAGAAGTAACCAATCACTAACAGGACAAAAGTGGCAGAGGAATTCATGGACCGAAGTGAACAATTTAAAAAGGAAATCCTCCTCATGTATTTCCAACCCAGAATTTGTAAATTGTATTCCAGCACTGAAAAGAATATTTCAACAGTGAGAAGTAAAACACAGGATACTTTCACTGCATCATCTAATGCTTTCTAGAAGGTATAGCAACATGTTACAACAGGGTGCAAGTAATGTGCTGTGTGTCTCAGTTTTCCCTCTGTCTGAGGAAGAGAAAACTTTATATCATACACAAAAGATGCAACAAAAATACAAATTTCTGTTATCCCAGCTGGGAGCGTGCCTGTGTTTGCCTCTGAATGGATGCATGTGTGTGAATTCAATCACTCCAAAAAGAAAAGAGGCACAGGCATCAAAGGAAGCCAAGTTCCCCCAGAGAGATGTTTTTAAAGCTTGTTTAATGAAGTGGCAAAGTACCAGCAGTAACACAGCTCTTCTCTCCATACAATGTCACGAGGTGACTCACCCTTCTGGCTGCTGAAGTGCATTCTTCATGGCTTTGATTTGCTGGAAGTGACAAGACATATCTGTAGCTAGTACCATCTCAATCACCAGAGTCCTGAATTCTCTGGGGAAGATATCCAGGCAAGGAGGAAGGAGGGAGGGAGGGAGGAAGAGAAAGGTTTAAGAAACACTGTCCCCCCCCCTTTTTTTTATTTCTCTGTCTACAAATAATTTATGACATTCTCACGCTACACTCCCATGTGCGTCACTAAGCACTTCACATTATCTTTTTCCTGCAGCTGAAGGACAGGGAGGAAAACCAGACCTAGAGTGAGCAATTTAGTCAGATGATGTGGTCTTGCTTGCTAAGAGATAAAACAGTTCTTTTTAGAAACTGACTTCAGGATACTTCAGGAAATGTTAAGATCTAAAATCATCAGACCTCATATAAATATGATGTTGTGCAATGCCAAAGCATGCATATGGAAACAAGGCCACTATCTGGCAGGCTAAGGCACAGTTACAAGCCTATTTCCCTCCACAAAACATTGAGGATAAATTGAAAACCATGCTTCATTATATTTGCGAAGGCTTTCATGGCTGGGATCTCATGGTTGTTGTGGGTTTGTCGGGCTCTTTGGCCGTGTTCTGAAGGTTGTTCTTCCTAACGTTTCGCCAGTCTCTGTGGCTGGCATCTTCAGAGGACGGCACTCTGTGCTCTGGTGTAGTTGGCATGGGAGTACCTTCAGAACATGACCAAAGAGCCCGAAAAACCCACAACAACCATGCTTCATTATATTTAGGCAAATTTCTTTCCCTAGATTTCTCTGGGGCCCAGATCTTGTTACTAGCACTCCCTGTGCACACAATGGCAGAGTCAGCAGGATGTGGCATCGAACTGGTAGTTGGGAGACAGGGCAAGTGTGATACAAATCACCAGGGAGATCATGAGCCCAACTATAGATTGTAAGTGATCCATCACAAGAAGAGAGAATCCCTGAAGTGCTGATTGTGTGAGTCTGTCACTGCAAGAGCTTTTCTTGCATCTAATAATTGATTCTGTTATTGCTCTTCAAGCCATAAACAAATTCTTCCTTTTGTCAATCAAATTTCTCAGATGCAGAAGTCTGCCCCAGTCATGCCTCTTGCAGTGTTTAATGTATAGTTTGGCCCCGAGAGTCAAAATTATTGCCCGTGATTGGATTTAAAAGCCCCAGAGTTTGGTTTGGTTGTCAGTCTTCAGAGTACATAGAAGGATGGACAGCAAACAGCGAATTGGTTATTTATCTTGATTTTATTCATGGTATTCAAGCACAAAGCAAGCTGTTAAACACCCGTGGAGACACATGTTTACTTTGCTAGCACCACATTCAATTAAGCAAAATGTGTCTGTAATGCAGGAATTGTTAAAAACATGTGAACTTGGATGGAATTTGTTGGGAACCTAAAACAAAATCTTACCATTGTGTTACTTTCAAAGCTTGAAAAGTGCTTTTTAAAGAGTAATTAGTTACTATTTACAAGTAACTAATGGTTTCTCCATCACTCCCCATAGTTACTGTTCCAGATTCTTTTAAATGCTGGCTGCACCCTGTTTGGAGAAACTCATGCAAAGAGCTACCCAGGCCCTCCCTGCACAAGCATAATTTGGCTATTTGTAACAGAAGAGCAACTGCTCTGTTCCACTGATGTTAAACAGATTTCCAACCTTATAACATAACTCTTTGCCATTTCTCAAATGTAAGTGCACCATTACTTTTTAGTTCTTTTCCAGAAATATCTGAATGCTATTCATCCATGAATCATGTAATATTCTTTGGTCCAAAAAGAGCACACTATAACCAGAAATGTAGCTGAGACATTGTAGTTACACTGCCAAAGAAGTGAAGTTATTCCTCATTTACCTATCACCAAATAATGTAGTTTTACCTTTCAAAAAAGAATTAACTGGTTTTGTACTCTTAATTAGTGCTCTCAAGCAATGATTATTCTGCAGAAAATTTATAAGAGACTGGTCTGCCATCCAGTTCTGATGACAACAAATCAAAATGGATCTACCATAACTAGAAAGTATTGCAAGAATGCATCCACGAAATAAATACAGAGAGGGCAGCTAAATGGTCCATGACACATACTGGGAATAAAGACAACAGAGTTTCCTACTGTTTTGTTTACTAGGGATCAGTATTCAAAGAGGCATTACTTTTGATAACGGAATATACGTCATCTCTGTACAACCATTAGTGATTTAATTTTGCTTCTTTCTGAAATATGAATACTCATGCAGGGAAAAATAAAATAAAATTCAGTTTTTAAAAAGAAAATCATGGATTTGTTTGCCCAGAAGTCATGTTTTTTTTTTATCAGAAGCATGGCATTTTGGCTGCAGAGGGTTCTTTATTTTAGCATGGATGACAGCCACTCCCTATACAATTTTTAAAAGGGGCAGTGAATAAAAATGTATGAGCCAGGAAGGTGTAGTCATGTGGTGCTCAAATGGTTTTTGAACTGTTGTTGGAATTCCCTTGTGGCAATTTTTAATATGTTCTTTTAAAATGTTGTGTACCGATATCAGATGCATCCCCCACTACAAGCAGGAAGCAACTTGCAAGCTTCTCTGTGCTTTATAAAAACCTTTTGCACCCTCCTTCAGCATGTCTTTTCCTGGAAAGAAGCAAGGAGCCATCAGCCTTCAGTTGCACCCACACACCTTGCCTCCAATGCCACTACATGAACTGGAGGCACATAAACATCTTGGGAAAGAGAAACAAAAAGGGCAGAGAAAGAAAGCTATGAGACAAATCCCTTATTTCATTTTGAAAGCATGACAGCCGGTGGACACAGAAAAAATGCAGGGTTTTAAGGAACCCTGATTCAAATCACAAGTGTAGCCTCCAACATCGGTATACAACTTTAAAAAGGAATGTATTAAAAATTACCACAAGGGAATACAAACAGTGAGTCAAAAACCACATGAACACCACATGACTATGAAGCTACTTAGTTAACACCATGGCATATTATAGCATATTATATCCGCAGTGTGATCTGAATCTGACATCTTCAGAAATTCATAGATTCTTGCATATGCATGTCTCTACATTTTCATTTTGTGAATGTTCTGCAACATGTGTTCTGATTTTTCTTCTGCCCAAACCTGTCTGTCACAATGTCATGTATCACCTGTATTCTTTTCAGGCATTATCTATCATGGCAAACACACATTGACTGGAGGGGAGCATGACCCTGCCACCTGTTCCACCATCCTCCTATGCATACAGAGTGACAAGTCTGGAGGCTCTCCACAGGAATCCAATGCTGATTTTCTAGGGTCTCAGCTGGCATGGAGAGGCACCACAAGTAGCAGAGCTCTCCCTTTTCAGACTCACTGCCCTTCACATGTAGAAGGAGAGATACTGGAGATGGAGGGGTTGGACTAGAATGCTGCCCCCTACTTGAATGCCTAAATAAAGCCCTGATTGACAGTTTTCACATGTGTTATGTTGTTTACTACAACCCAGCAACTGCTGAAAATAGCAGCTGCAGAGCAGGAAGAAACAGTAGCTACAGAATAGGAGGCCTGGCATTACTAGGACTGAGGGCATATTATCAATATAACTATTTCCTCAAAAATATTTGGCTGCTGTAGGGTTTTGGTTCCAAATTTTAAAAATGATTGGCTTGGGCAAGGTATAAATAAAAGGTTAAAGTAAAGCCCTTCCATGTACTTGTGTATTGCGAATAGGACATTTACTGTATATTTGTCCTGGAAATTAAAGGGTTACAATAAAGATTGAAACATTTGCAAAATAGCAAATCCTGGATGTTTAATGGCACTGCTTAGGCTGGCACACAAATTATAAATAAACTAATACTCAGCCATGGTTTGAATTACAGAAATATTAAATTTTGCTAGATCGAACTCTGGGCTCATTACACATTTGAGAATTATGAACCTATTAAATTCAACTTAGAAATCACTTACAGGCTTCGTTGGTGTCCCTAACAAAATCCCAGACCAAAAATAGTGCATTCTGACAATATGACACATATAATCATATAAACAACTTCAATGGATCAGGCCAAAGGGCTTACTTTATTCCAGCTTTGTTTCTGTCAGTGGCTAGCTGGATGTTGCCAGTAAATCTGTAGAGCTTTTTAATATACTTGCAGGCACAAGCAATATAGTGTACATAGTATACATAGTATATATACTATTTAGTATACTTGCAGGTATGAGCAACATACACAGGAGAATAAGATAGTTGCAGAAAAACTGCACTGATGTAATTAATGTGTGGGCATTCATGCTGCAAGTATAAATATGGGGAATTTCATATACAGTTTGCTAATGAATTGAACAATTTTTATTTTGAGATTTTGTTATTGTTTACCAGAGGCCACTGAAGAAGACATCAGTCAAACTAGATTTCATATTCATGGATGCATTTGAAATACAATTGATTGAATTTCTCTGACAATTGAATCACTGACAATTGAATTTCTCTGAATATTCTTTGTGTGAATCCAGCATTTTATTTGGAATCAAAACCCTTCTTGATTAGATCTTGGAAACTACTTTTTCCCCTCTAATTCATTAAGTGGAATAGCTCTACTAGCCACCACTCTGTGACTGCAACAGGAGCAGCAAAGAGAAAGGTAATGGCCCATCATTACCTTTTATTTTAAAACAATTTATATTGCAGCTCCTGGCTTCAACACAATTTGGGTGCTTTCTCTCTTATCTGCAATGAGACTCTATCCTTCAACTTATCCTCAATAAACCAGGACTCCTGCTGAGAGCATTCAGAGAGAACAGTTGGAGCAATCAAAATGATAGCCCGCAAGGTCAGTGGGCATTCTTACCTCCAATCATCCTTTGAAAGGTTGGACAAAATGTTCATCTCCTCATCCTCTTGCAGCAGACGAAATGCAGCACTAAGATGATGATTTTCTAGCACAGACCGGTCATTATAAAGAATGGCTGAATCTGACCTATTAAGTAAAAAAGACTTGGCATTCATAAACACAGAGTTTCTTCCCCTTGATATAACAAATATTTTTCTCATAGTACAGTACAGTATATGTTTGTCTCTTACATGTGTATTTGGGGGTGTGCATTCATATCAGAACAGATGAAAGGTGGAGCTGAGTCAGCTCATTCAGCTCAGTTTTCATTTGTTACAAAGTGAATGCATCAGAGAACAAATTGATATAAATGGGTCAGACATGCCATTCTGTGATGAGGGAGTTTTCCACATTCCTATAGTGGCAGTGAAGTTCCTTTCACTGTTTGTGGTGGCTGCCATTATGTGCATGGAACACCTTCAGCACTGCAAACTTCTGAGGCATTTCCAAGCTGGGGTGGGGCAGGGAACCAGTTGTTATAAAGACGATTCTTCTGATGAAAACATTTTCCCTGAGAATGCCATGGAATCCACACAGCATCTAGGTTGTTCTGAATAAATATCTGGTTCCAGAAACAGCCACAGAAATAAGCTCTGCAGTTGCCACCAACATAAGTGGCAACATACACACATGTACACTGGCATGCACACACACTGAGATAGAGGTGATAAATCCTAAGTCCCATTGAATTCAACAGGGCTTACTCCAAGAGAAAGCATGTTTCCTATACCTGAGCTTAAAACACTAGTTAGTTTGTGAATATGCCTTTTCTCCATCTTTCCTTCTAGATATGGGAATATGTACATCACAATATCAGAATTAAGTTTATTTTATGTAACAAAAGCACTCATTCTCTTTGGATCAGGCAGCCAATTTGCATGGATTCACTCATGTGGGAACAACCAACAATTATAAACATTTTAAAAATTACACGTGTCATGCAAATTTCACATGGCAGATACTTATACCAGTCACTTGTTCATTCCAACCACATGGAGGACAAAAAAAAGGATCTGGCTTTTACTTAAGCTGAAGTATGTTTGAGCTGGTCCTGATATATACACTATTTCTCTCCCTCCTACTTTCTCTCTCACACACAAAAACACATAAGGAACAAAGAAGCTGAAAACAGGGATGACTAACTTGGTAATATCCAAGCTTCTGGGAGACAATTTTTAGCCTCCTATAGATACTGGAGGGCTGCACATGCTCTTTAATAATAATTATGTACTGTCAAGAGGACTCTGACCTATGGCAATCCTTTCTAGGGTTTTCTAGGTACAGAGTCCTCAGAAGTGGTTTGCCATTCCCTTCTTCTGGGAATCTTCTGAGACATATTTTAATACTCAGCAAGTTTAAGTTCTACTTAAGTATCTGGTGAAAGATATGATTGTGATCCAGTGTGTGCTTATACAAAAACTAATTAGGGTGAAAGCACCAGGCTGTTATTCAGCTCCTATTCAGTTCACCCCACTCACTAAAATATTAGAAATCTTGCAGCAAATCATGATAATCTTTCTTCCCCTTAAGTCCAAGGTTATTCTTCATAAAAATTATTTTCTATTCCTTCTGATATGACAAAAAGTCTTCAGAAGTTTTCTTTTAGAGATTCAGCTTTCCGCATCTGAAGAGACTATGAGCTTTGATTCACAATAGCATGCCTACAGATAATCCAAATATTCAGTGGTCTCAGTTTCTTATTTAGAAACAGGCTGGTTCACATCTTCCCTTAGACATCTGAGATAATGTTAAAATTGACATGACAAATGTCTTCTCCAACTTAGTATCCTCAAACATTATGGACTACGACTCCCAGCAGGCTTGACTACTAGTTATGATAGCTGAGGTCATGCCAAATCATATGGAGAAAAGCTTTGTTACTATACAAAAACATAGACTGGAGAGTGGCTTTTAAGCCAATTTAATTAATTAATTAAGCTCAGTGCAGGAAATCCAGAGCTGAAACATATCTGAGAGATAACTCTCCAGCCCATTAGAGAGAGCCCACCACCCTTTTAGATGAATGTTTCCACTGTCAACTCATTCGCACTTATGTGAAGCTATTGTCAAAAACATCTTTTATGTCAAGGTCTTAATTTTATTTCCATAATATACAGTATAATTTGCCCTGTCCTGCATTCCTTTCCTCCTAAGTATGGTTTCAAAATTCTCTTCTTATAAAACTCTCTTTTTGGCACTCCAGCTTAACAAATCTTGTTTCTAAATTAGAGATGATAATTAGGACTTCTTCGTTAGTCTCTGTTTTCATTCCGCATTTTATACAAAGCACTGTACTTGCATAATTTGCCACAGTTTTTAATTTCTTCCATTCATCATTTTTCCTGTCTACATCACCAATTTGCACGTGTATCCTGATACTATGTTCTAAATGTATTTATTTATGTATGTACTGACACACAGTAAGCACAACGTTGATTGGACTTTGCAAGGGACCAAACACTCTTCTGTTTTGAAAATGGCATCAGATAGTAGCTAAAATTTGGGGATCTGGTGGGAAATATATTGGCAGCCATATGGAATTGTTGTTATATGCCATCAAGGCACCTCCAACATGTGGTAACCTCATTAATTATATTTATTAGAAATATTGAGAATGAACAAAGAACTGATCAGATTGTTAATATAATCTACCTTAGCTCAAAAGAATAGGATGTACCTAATCAATGATGCCAGGAAATGAGGGGAGTATACTCTTAGATTAGATATTGTGGCAAAGTCATGGCATGGTCATTTTTCGTGAGAGGCATGCATATATATTGTGTATATCATAATCTCTAGTTCCAGACTAAATGCATGGCATTATGGTTTTTTAAGCCTCCTAAAGTACAGTAGTTATTGTGACAAAGTCTACACTAACAATTGGCTATAGTAGCATAAGTAGCAAGAAATGAAAGAAATTGATTGTATGACAACAGACATGCTTAAAATCAATGCTGAATTTTTCAATAAACTCAAACACTGATTTTAATATGATATTTAAGTTGTAAATAGCAAATCTTTAGCTTCTTTGGTGAAATTTAGGCTCATTCATTGATAGATGGTAATGACACTCAGTATTAAGTCCTGTTATCTGACTTTTGCAAACCTCAAAAAAAGTTTAAAAAATTAATTAAAATATTATTAATTCATAAATTAAAATATCAGTCCACAAATTCTTGTTTTGTTCTATTTAAAATTCTGTTTCATCCGCACAACACTAGTACACACTTTATCTTCTGTTTCATAGCTTTTTTTTGTTTTTATTGCTCATCAAAAAGCCTCACCTTGTCTGAATATGAAAGTTGTTGGTAGTTCCAGTGTGCTCATAATCATGGATGGCAGCTGCAAAGATCATAGCGAAGATTTCCAGCTCTGTCAACCAGTGCTGAAAGAAAGATTTAAGAGCAGTCATGCTACAGATCATTCTGTCAAATGTCACCTCGTTTTATTTATTTATTTATATTATTTGTTTGTTTTTGGTAAGGAGAAGGGCTTTGCCTTTTAGCTAAGCACAGTACATTCTAGTGCTTTTTCAGTGCAAGGTACTGTTCTGACAGCTCAAGTTCAGATACACAGAACTAAAGAAACCATTAATCCAAACTACAGTGGGGTCTTGACTTGAGAACTTAATCCGTATTGGAAGGCAGTTCTCAAGTAAAAAAGTCTGTAAGTCAAGCCGTCTGTAAGTCAAGGGTCCACTGTAACATAAAACTGCTTTGCTAAGGCTAGACTGCCATTTTTCAAATTTCTGAGAAATGAGAATTTTATTTCTCAAGGGTTACTCTGCCAATAACTGCAGATAATTTTCTACCTTCCCTGCATGAGAACATTTAGCCACTTCAAAATATGATGAAGAATTTGAGTAAATCTGTCAGTTTCCATGGGCAAAAACCTGAATGTCTCCTATAAGGCTCCTCATAAACAGGTTTCTTATGGATGACTTATAGATTTGTGTCCTTTACACATCTGTCAAGGAATTCATTTATGGTCTCAGAATATATTGTATCTTGTTTTATTTCTTTTAAATCTTCACTCCTGGATACCTTGTAATATTTTTGTCTTAAAAGTTCAAAAATGAATCCTTTTCTTCTTTAAAAGGTTTATTTAGCAAGCAAGCAAGTCAGCAAATAAAAGACAAAAATATAAAATATGCTTGGAATACATGTAAAAATTACACAGGTATATAGTTTCAAAATCACAGCCTTCTATTACATATTTCTCTAGTTCATCCATGTAAATAATACTTCTATGTTTGAAAAGAAACTCTGGTTCGATGAAAATAAGAGCTTCTGTCTAGACATCATATAGGTGAAGCTCAGTGATCCAAAAATACATAGAAAACAAGTTCTCTATAGTAAAAGGCGATTTTCTTAGATAACTCTCATTCAAGTCACTTAAAAACAAACTCTATTAATTACAAGTTGTTATTAAAACAATTCTAAGCATAAGCAAGAACATTTGCAAATGAGTGACAGCGCATTAGATATTTCTCACCCAATATTTTCCCAGCAGAGATGTCTCCCCTGTTTGTATAAATGTGGTTATGTGTTTTGGAGATGTCCTTCTAAACATGATGGAAATCTCAGTTTTTATACACTCAGTGCATCTTAAACAAAACACTTATGATGCCAAACTTTGGCTTTTCTGTGGGCAAGTGATGCCATCTTGCCCAGACAGCTGTCGAATCAGTTACCTGCCAAGATAAAGCCTAGCCAGGGAAATGCCCCCTCCCTTGGAGTAACTTCCTTAATACCATATTTGGGCAGTATAATACATTTTGAATGCCAAATTTCTGCATTTTACATGTTCTATATTTCCCAATCAAACTCTATATTTAATTTTTTCCTACCATATAATTTTTCCCTAAACCTATTACTGACAAACGTTTTTAGCTCAGCCATGTTTCTTCCTGGCAATGATCCCACTCTCCCTGCTGTGTTCTCAGGAAGAAGTCCCCACTAACTCTATGGCCTGAATTCAACTGACCAAAAAGCCTTTCACTTTAGCATGTTGTGTTCAGGCCTTCCCATGTCTACTCAAGCTCAAAAAGAGCCACGATTCAGCAACTTTAAGGGCCACACCATTTACAGACATATTAATTAGAAAATACAAATAAATGTTGTTTAATATATTGACATTATATTGATGCTCCTAGTTGGACAATACAAATAAAGGTTGTGGCTAGTTTCAACTTCACCACTACTTCAGAGCTGGATACCTGTTTGTGGTATTGGTGTGAGTTCAAATCCCATCTTTGTTCACTGGAATAGGGACATCAAATCTATGCAACTGAAGCTACCACTCCATGTGCAAGTACACCACTGGCAAGTAGTCCAATGCAGTGTGTGTGTCTTCAAAATGGGCTTGAATGGATGTTGATGTATGTATCTTGTGTGTGATAGAGTGTTTAAAATGGGGTCTGTGTAATCATGTCAAGGGTCACATGTCAAAAACAGAGTGGCACCACACATTACAGAATGTGTGGCATGAGACCCTCAACGTGCTTTTCCAGAGCAAATTCAGTCCTCAGGCTGAAAACAGTCCCCTATCCCTGCAATATAAGTGTTGAACTACCAAGTTTAAAATCAACCGGTTAGAAGTTTTCTGAATTAAAAAAAAAACAAACTACAGCCTTTCCCCCAAATTCTGGTTATCCTAAAATAATGTGATTTGACCAAATCAGCCTTAATGTAGAGCAGCTCTTGGATCCTATAAATCCTTTTAAATGAACATACTGTGAGGAATGTACTTGAGATGCTGGCAATGTACATTTAATCTGATGTGCAGCCCATGTTACCAGACACAGAAGTAGTGAACAGATCCTCAGATGTAACAGTTGTTTCACAACCTACTACATATGCGCTCCAACATTTCAGAAAGAAAAATAAACCTATTGGTAAATTAAGCTCACCTAATAAATCCCTGACTGCCTCAAGGCCACGTATCTCTGATCATATATCTTCCTTTCCCTTTTTAAAGGTTTTTTTAAAGTGTTGTAGTAGAAGGTTCAACCATCTCAGGGTAATTTTATGAAAAGAGGAAGGAGTGTGCCATTTTGCCAGAGGAATATGCCCACTGGTTATTTATTTTCTGGTATATTTATACCTTCCATTCCCCTGATGATCTCAAGGTGCTCTACACAGCTCTCTTCCCCCACAGCAATAATTTTGATGGATTGGTTGACAGAGACCAGCCCAAAGTCACCTAGTGACTTATCCAAGATAAAACCTTAAAACACATAGAAGAACAAGCCTTGCTGAGGGAAAATCAGTATGGCTTCTGCAAGGGCAAGTCTTGCCTCACAAACCTTTTAGAATTTTTTGAAAAGGTCAACATGCATGTGGATGCTGGCAAACCAGTGGATATTGTCTCTCTGGATTTTCAGAAGGCAGCCTGCTGAGAAAACTCCACAGTCAGGGGATAAGAGGGCAGCTCCTTTAATGCAGTGGTCCCCAACCTTTTCCAAACTGCGGACCAATTGCGGTGGGGGGCAGCGTCCATGAACGGGGGGTGGGCCACCCATATGCAGGTGGGCAGGACACCCACACATGCATGCAGGCGTGGGCAGGGCACCCATAGACACAAACATAGGTGGGTGGGGCACTAGTGCGTGTGGGGGGGGAGCCGTCCATGCTTCTCTGCGTGGGAGGACATACGTGCTGGGGGGTGAGAGATCTGTCTCCACGGCCCAGTCCTGCCACGGCCACATCCCGGTACTAGGCCATAAACCAGAGGATGGGGACCCCCAGCTCTAATAGATTGAAAATTGGTTGAGAACCAGGAAACAGAGAGTACGTGTCAATGGGCAGTTATCACAATGGAGAGAGGAGAAGAGTGGTGTGTCCCAGGGATCTGTCTTGGGACTGGTACTTTTCAACCTGTTCATAAATGAGCTGGAATAAGCAGTGAGATGGCCAAGATAGCAAATGACACAAAACTTTTCTGGGTAGTGAAGACTAGAAGGGATTGTGAAGAGCTCCTGGAGGATCTCTCCAAACTGGGAAAATGGGAGGCAAAATGGCAAATGTGATTCTATATAGGAAAATGTAAAATAATGCACATTG